ATTTAAAAAATTAATATTTACTATGCAATCAAGAGTTAAATCTAAAACCCAAAAGTTGAATTTATAAAGTTAGATTGAATTCTTTAAACTAAGAGTCGATTGTTCAAGAAATTCTAGGATTTAGCCAACTTTTCCCCCCTTTAGGCCAAGAGTCGAATCTTAGAAGTGAGAGTCAAATCTTTAGCACCCGACTATGCCTTGCACCCAAAACTTTCTCAACTTTTTAGAATTTGGGAGTTGAATCTTGACCTCCTAGAGTTGAATTTGGAAGTCTCAAGAGTCGAAGATTCGACTGTTCATTGGAATGCACATTTCTACAGATTTTGCTCTAGAGTCGAATTTGCAAGTAAGAGTTGAATCTTCTTGCTTCAACTCTTCAACCTAGTTCTATAGTTTTTCATATTTTTCTTTGATGAATTGTATGACTTTTTAACTGCACACTTGATGTCTTGCCCCAAAATTAATACCCTATGACCAAGCGGTTGATATAGTGTAGCTGTAGACAGGGAAGCTAAAAGAGTTGTCATAATGAAAAATTAAATTAAAAAAATAATTTTTAAAATTAAGGATAAAAATATTTATATTACAGATGATAATTATAGAGGATTGAAAAAATATTATGATGAACAAGACTTTACAATTCACTTAATTGACTTGTTCAATTGTTATAAATTTTGATTCATATTTATTGCTCAATTGTATGTTTCACGTCTCAAACAAACAATATGAAAATATAACTTTGAATACCAATAATAATAACTAATGTATTTATTTTGAGAAGAATTAATTTCAATGAAGAACAAACTAATCTATCCTTATAAGTTATCCAACAGTGACAATATATCTAATCAACAATACTGTAATAAAGGATCAACCTGCAAAACAAATCTACCAATTGATTATGTTCTAACAAATTACACATAAAAAGAGTATCACTAATCCTATATGAAATTTGATGAGTATAATTTTCAAGGTTTTCAAATATGAAAATAATTAATAATCTCTCAAAAATAAAATTAAACAATAAAATCCATGGAGAGATCAAAATAAAATAACAATTTAAACTCCTCAATTAAGATCCTCTCTAACCTTATTGAAAGTTTAGCTATGCCTTGACATAATTCTCTAGCACTAGAAAAAAAGAAAATATGTGCCTAAAAATGGCTTCTCTATATATTAAACCTAGTTTTAAAGGCTCCTATTTATATTGAGAATAAAATAGGAGTGTTTGGTAACTAAGTAGTAACCCTGGGGAAATAATTTTTTTTTTTCCTTTCTTCCCGCACAATCTTGTTGGACAAGGGTTGGATCCTCAAGTTAGCGTGCAGAACCCTTCATGTTTTTGTTTTTGTGCATAACTAACAAGGGGTTGGAACTTGATCATAGGGTGCAGAACCCCTCTAGCTACTATCCATCCTTTTGCATTGGTCAGGGGTTGGAACCTAAAAACAGGTTCCAACACCTTGTTATTACATCAACTTTACGAACTTTGCTCCTTAATCAAAAATGGAGAAAATCCCACTTGAGTCTTCAAACTTCCAAATTTGATCCTTGGATCCTCATTTTTCTATCTCTTTGCATTTGAGTCCTTTTCTTTTAATTCTCTCCATTTAATTATCAAATCTTCAATCATAAAAAATTTACACAACATGAATAGAATGAACACTTATGAAATTAGTTGTAGAAAAATACAATTCTTAAGCTTATAATTCCACAAATGTCAATGGTTAAGCACATTTTAAATATACATTTTCATGCTTTCATCAATACTTAAACTCAAATTTGTTAAATATCTTAAGGGGTTTTATTATCATCAAAATCACATGGAGTTCAATAGAAATATCATATACAAATGCTCTACATTACTGCCACCAATAACATCATTACTTTAAGATGCATGATCCAAAAAGGTTGACATTCCTAGTTAACTCTAAAATGCAAACAAGATACATTTTTAAGTTGTGAAAAAACACTAACTAATCTAATACATCTCATTATTAAAAGTCCAAAATCAACAAACAAACAAGTTGAAACAAGTAGCTTACTTTTACTTTAATTTCCTGGTCAAACTGCTTGTAATAAAAGAGTAAGTTCAAGCTTATAGCAAAGAGCTAAGAGCTAAAGTCGAGAGCACCTCAAATTCTTATTCTTACCTTTCATTTTCAATGACTTATGGTTGCTCATTATGTGGAAGATTGAAACAAATAGCTTAATTTATTGGGTCACTCCCATGATCTTATTGGCTTAGACCT